GACCCATAACTTGAAACTGAGACTGGCAGACACAACGGAATACCCTTGCTAATAGATTATGCAACCTTTGTGATCAGAATCAAGTAGAAGATGAGTATCACTAATGATGTCATGCAAAAGTTATACCCCCGATAGAAATGTCTTATTTGAAATGGCAAAAACCAAAATTTGTCACCAAAGACACAATTCATAGTCTTGCTAAACAACAGTGGTCTAACACTTCCTGTAGCAAGGTACCTAAAGAAGTGTTTTGAAATAAGACAGCAACCCCAGTGACAATTTTCTTTCCCAGTTAAGTTTTGCATTTTTTCTATCTTTTTATTGTATAATAATTTAGTCTTAATATTCTCTTTCTGTTACAGTAATGTATTAGCTTAGTTTTTTGTATGTTTTTATTTTATTTTATTTTTTTTTTTTTATTTTTTTAACCTTTTATTCTTTCTTAAACATTTGTAGCTATTGCCAATCTCTTCGGGGAATGTGTAAGTGTTAATAAAATTAATATTATTTAATTAATGACCCCGCACATTAGTGATTGGCCTTGGATAGTTGAAGATATTTCTAAATGGGCTACTCGATAGAAGTATTCGCCGTGCTCAAGACTTTTTATTCGGGTTTATACAACACTTACATGTTACTGTCAGGAAGGTTTAATGTCTTGTTTCTGTTTTCACAATGTGAAAGAGGGGTTTATTGTCAAAATGTACTAGTATATGGGTGGTTGTATGCATATTGAACTATACAACATTTGAATTATGTCACCAAACTGTACGTTTTGACGACTCGTATGCAATTGTAAGATTATATTTCTGATATACTCGAAGTGAATCTCAGCACTGTGCTTTTTATAAATGTTATGGTTCGGTTAATAATTTCCTGGAAACTGTACAGAAAATCACAGACTTTCATTATTTTTTGTTCATAGTTTTTCTAAATTTCAGTTTTTATTGTTCATAATTATTTACAGCAATAACACTTTTTTTCTGTTGTGAAACCATTTCCAGTTATTATGATTGTGTACATGACAGCTTTCCCCCACACAATAAGACATGTATGGATATGTGCGAGTATGTTTGTTGGGTTAATATGCCACTTCTTTATATCCCACAATGTCCGGTAATTCTAACTAACTACTATTTCGCCAAATTTGCGTAGCCTTGCTTCTACTCTCATATTGTCCTTAATAGTGGAGGTTAATTCAGATATATTGTAAATTGCACAGAGGTAACATTACAATACATTTCCCTTTACATTTCCCTGTATTACATAACAGTCTTTGAGCTGAGGCAGTTATGGTTCTACAACCATCACCAGTTCTCTTGTCGTTCACTATATTACTAACTGCGAATACCCAACTGTCAGAAATAGCGGTCCGGATGGCAACGGTTATATCGTAGTTAGTTCCAAATCACTGAGTCAAGTTCCGTCCATGACCTCGCATGAGCCTAAATGATGACAGATATAACACAGCCATTCACTAGTAATCAGCTCAATAAGTCGGACAACAGATACGCGAAAACTAATTCATGACATGACCTTCAGAGTGACAGTAAGTCGTTATGAATATCGTAAAATTGCCTATGAATTTGACTTAGAGATCAGAGATCTGTGGGCTTCTAAGTAAATCATCTCTGTTCACTGCGCTGTGAGTAAAATCGTAGGTAAAAAACATGACAAGCGTCATAGTGGCGTCGAGGCTTCGCGTGGGATTTGACAAACACGAAAGCCTTCGGGCGATGTTTCCACGCTTAGCACATTAGATGATTGTCAATTGTGATGATATAAAAGAATCTGTACGCTATATTCCCCTTTGAAAAACTGGCATTTCGAAACTCAGCTATATAAACAGTTCAAGTTCAAAATAAAATTATACAATTTGTGCGACAGAGCCCTTTTCACGCTATACGCGAGATCTTCCAGTGAACTGAAAATCTACTATTGGATCCGTGAAAAACACCACACGATAATCAGTGGATATATTTACCATGCTGGTGTCAGCTTGTCTTTTTTTTATCACCAAATAGCATATCATTCCCGGAGTGGCAGGTACTGACAACATTGATTACCACGTTTTTCAACACATTGCAAGATTTTAATACAAGGTTGAGAGTGGGATGCAGTGAGGTCTAACGTTAAAACTCCATTGCCTATAGTAAAATACATTTCAAAAATGTGCTACAATTCTACAGATGACCACATCAGATGAGACATTCATATCTCAAAACAGATATTTATGTAACATATGCAGCGAAGGAGAATACATTCTATAAGACAACACGCATTGAAACAAAGCCAGTTCGATGGTCACTCATCCCACCCGATTACTAATATATGACAGGATTATATGTAAATATCTGAAATAGTTAGAAAAGAAAAAAAAATATAATATAACATAATATAGGAATAGATGTATAAAATGTCAAAACTGGAATACATTCCATGTTGGTAATTTGCGATGTAAATAACCCCTATAATACTTCAGAACATTTTTTCGTTTTTATTATCTTTATTAAATGGACACGTAACTCATGGAAGGTGGGTCAAGTGAGACAACAGTGGCATTCGTTCTCAATGAAACCCAAAATGAACAACTTCTTTCGATTATAGCAAGGAGAGAGAGTGAATGAACTTTTATTATAGCATTACTGAATGAATGTTCACATTCAAAAATCCGAATATTTCGATTGTTATGATGTCATCATTAAATAATAAGTATGCATTCACTCCAGACTGAGAACTTCTACGCAATTCCCAACACGTTCGACCGTAGTCACAGTTGTAGTTGTAGTTGACTCTCCGTTAGTAGTGGTGGTAGTGGTAGTCGTGGTTGTTGTAACTGAAGTCTCGCATTCACAGTTTGTAGGGTTGTCAGGTTCTCCTGCAATGAACAATGCTAATTCGTTGGTTTGAGTTGAAAATATTCAAATAGTATTCGAATCCACGATGGAAAAATAAATTCTCACATTCAAGTTTCTACCATTATGTTAGAAAAAGTAAATCCCGATTGGGGAAATAGAGTATTCGTAATTTCGAAACTACAACGTTTTTTTTGAATAATCCACATCTCAGTACATCTTCTTTTTCTTTTTATAGAAATTACAACACAATGAATCATTCAGATAACATTGGATACGCAAAAAAGGTACTAGTATTTAAAGCCATACCTTGAAGTGAATCAATCATAACATAGTCAGATTGTAATTGCTGTATTTCCGGTGTTTGATCAGACTGACACTTCATCGCTTTGTCGTGGTCAGCTACACTAAATGTATAGTCCAACTTTGACGTTGTGTCGTAGGTGCCATCACGATTGTCGATATATGTGTTCTTACCGTTGCCCACCACAATATTGTCAAGATACCACACAAGGACCGCCTGTGGGCGCCCTTTGTATGCCTTACAGATCATTGTGGTGACATCCCCTGGTACAACTGTTAAGTTTTCACCAGTAGAGTACCCCATTATGTCTACGCCATCTACCAGTTCTATTCAAAAAACAAATGAAATAATATGAATGTAATAAATAGTCACCAGGCCCATGGAAAAATTGACATTATTAATTAATTAGCGCGGACCATATATTTCCTCTATCTTTATATCAAACTTAATTGACGGAGTCTTTTTTGTGTGTATTCGAGTTTAGATGTTTAGGATTCGAGTTTAAATGTGGCTTTGCACTCTAAAAATCGCTAACTTCCGGAATGAAATGAAAACCACAACATATTGTCGTTCATTTAAGCCAACCCAAAATTCGATACAGCTTGTTCAGCAATTGCCAACTTATAAGCTATGTTTTTTATTTCAACACTTATGTATGTTTGTGTGGAATATTACTTCATTTACATTGTATTTTATCAGATTTCGTTTCACTTTATCTGCCTTATATAATTCAAGGTGAATTATTATGAGCAATATTACCCATTCACTGACTTTCAAGAAACCATCGTCCGCCTGCACGGCGTTGTTCCGTTCGGACATTCCTCCCTCCACAACGTGCGGTAATTCTATTCATAACCGTGTATGTCACGTGGTTGCGCTATAGAAAGTTTACCGACCAATAGAAAGCTTTGTTACAATGACTTCCAAAAAGCGTTTGGGGCTTTGTATTTCTGATGTCTTCATCTTCGGCTTCATTTCTGCCGATATTTGTTGCAGTGATACCATGAGCTTTGAGGTATAGCACTCACTCTTCTATAATGCTCAACAGTGGTGACAACACTATTACCGCGTTCGATGGTCGCAAGGACGGTAAAACATAATAACATAGTGATTTATAATTTCCAGTGCGATAAAAAACGAACACATCAGACTTGGAACTAAGTAGCTTGGATAGCTTCGGTCTGAATATCTGTGAGTTACATGATGTATGGATATCGTCGTTGTATTGCCTCGACATCCCAGCTTCCACTGTGTGAGCGATATTTATTCTCGGGGCGGATTTCACCGCCTGGCAGCCATCATGGTGAAAACAAAGGCAAAAATTCTCAGAAAACGGTACTTTGGGATGGTTATTGACACCCTCTGAACCGTGAAACAAGAATACTTCTGCATATGCAACATAATTTAAATTTGGTTGTTTAGGATTACTTCTAGGTTGCGTTTGTGCTGTTTTCTCGATTTTAGCTATTTTCAACGGCTTTTCGACCAGCGTTTCACATCAGCTCGAGCAGAACCCATAGAAATACATGGTAGAACTTGGCCAAGCGCGTTGATGAAAGAAGCAATACTATTGGCTGTTGGTAAACTGATTCTAACGGTGAGGGCATTGTCACATACACATATTCCTAATGAAATAAGGATAGTGGAGTACTTCGCCGGAACATTCACCTTGAAAATTCAAGATGCCAAGAAACATGTAATAGCTAAGTGTATCAAAGGTATCCTCAAATAAGCCAACAGTGATCTTCAGAATGACTAACACAATATGGTTTT